ATTTCTTCCTTCTGGTCCCCTCCATTGATTTGAGTCCCAGTTTTCTTCCCATCACTATTGGTTCTCTGTGCATTTTCCTTCATTTCACTTAGTGTGTTGCCTTCATTTGTTCATCTAATTTGCAACCAAAATCAACCAGTTCTGTGAGCATCCTGATCACCAGTGATTTGAACTGTGCATCTGATAGGTTGGTCATCTCTTGGTCGCTTAAAAGTATTGGCTCTGGCTGGGGCCTTGATCTATTCTTCTATTTGAGCCATTTTTGTTGGGGGGGGGGGTCTGGTTGCACCTGTTTCATATGAGGGGCGGAGCCTTAGGTGTTCACCAGGGTAGGGTAACACACGTCGCTGGGTTGTGACACTATATGTGGGGGCGGGGTCAGAGAAGGAACAATGGCACTTGCTCTACTCTCTCTTGAATTTCAGTCTCCTCTGCCACTTCCCACAAGCAAACCTCACCCTTCTGGTACTGGTTCCTGGGTGGGTGGGTTTGTATGCGTTCTAGGACCCTGTGGGTCTCTCCAACTAATTCTCCTGTGAGGCTGAGAGTCTCTCCCTGCACTTTTTCAATAAAGCTTTTAGGCTTTATTTCCCGGCATTGGGGTTGCGAGGTCTGTCTTGCTGCCCATTTTGCCTGGTTTATCTGTGCGTGAGTGTGTGACCAAGGTCAGCCTTTTCCCGCCCAACTCCTCTCTGCGGACCGCTGACTCTGCCCCTCTTACCAGTCTGGATGAATGGTTGTCAGACTTCCATACAGTTCAATTTTCTGTCAGTTCTGGGTTTTTTTGTTTCTAAGTCTTTGTTGTCCTTAATATTGGTTGTGCAAGGAGACACAGTATTTCCACCTACACCTCCATCTTGGCTGGAAGTCCAAAACAATTTGATATTCTCAAAATGACATTCGAGAATATCATTTGATATTCTCTATTTGAGACTTATCTCTTCACCCTTACTACCAAGAATTGTATACAGGACAGCCTTGTCTACTGGACTAAGGGTGTCTGACATTAAAATCTATGCTTTTGGTTACTGAAGACAGTTGAACTTTTCTTTTTGACTGTAATTGTGAATGTCTGACCCTGTCATTTGCCCATTTTTCTGTTGCCACCAAAACCATTTTTTATCGTTTTATTTTCCTTAACTTATTTGAATTTTTCCTTTTGATATTTATTTTGTTATTTCTATTTAAGTTGTATGTTTAGTTTATTAATTTTTCTTCTTTGTTTAATAATAAACACTTTTAGTGTTAGTCTGATTCCTTTCTTAGCCAAACCACATAGGTATTGATGTGCATAGAGTTCATTATGTTCTTAATATTCTTTAATTACATTTGTAATTTCTTTGGAGCAAATGTTACGTAGTAGTAAATGATTGGGGGGCATTTTGTTACTCTGTTTTGTCCTACTTTAATTTATAAGGGTGAGGACCTCCACCCCATCCTTTTTTTATATACAAAGGTAGAAAACAGTTATTACTTACTTAGGCTTTTAAAAGTAGTGTAATAGTCATTGTGGCCTAAACTGTTAAAATATATTCTAAACAGGTGCTGGAAATAAAAATACAGTTTCTATTGCATAGAAATTATTTATAGTAATTAAATCTGTCTTAGTTGCCTGCTCATCCTGACCTGTCAAAGAAAGGTTCTTGCTTATTTCTTTTTGTGTGTGTGTGTCATATATTTCTTCTTGATTTTCTTTTTTCAGCAGTTGAAAACTGAGCACCACCTATGTGCTAAACCAACACATACTGTTCTGAGAACAGGATTTATTCATGATTTTCACCAAGCAGTCACAGTTGCAAATACTGCATTACTTCCTTTAAAAAAAAATGTGGAAAGAAATTTATCATTCACCACAGAGTGCTGTAACCAAGCTCTGCCACCACACAGATGACTTTGGCCAAGTCAGTTAGAATGTAAAATAGCACTTCAACTGTTTTTAATATTCCTTTATACTTATTAATTATCGAGGTCTCAAATAGCTTGTCTATGTGCTTATTTATTGGTATTTACCATATTAAAAATTAAAACATTAAGAAGTTTTTTAATTGATTTTGCTATTATGGTTGTCCCAATTTTTCCCCCTTTTACCCCTCCCCCCAGCACCCCCACTCCTTCAGGCAGTCCCCACACCACTGTTCATGTTCATGGGTCATGCGTGTAAGTCCTTTGGCTACTCCATTTCCTATACTGCACTTGATATCCCCATGGCTATTCTAAAACAAATTTTTAACATGTTTATTTAAAAGTGATAAGCCCATTACATGTTGTAATGTATCTATTTTTACATGAACTATGTTCAAAACAATAAAAGGCAGTAGTGAGAAAACTGCCATTGTTTTCCTCTTTTGCAAATTTCTTTAATGTTTGCTTAATAGAAGATAGATTCTCGTCTGTTTCTGTATTTAGTTTTTGTGATATCACATGCTTTGTAGCCTCTGGAAAACTTAACTGTATACATGTGAGAAAATGAGAGTGAAAAGAGGCAAATAATTTTTCTTGACCACCTGATAGGGTCCTGTGAACCTTCAGGGCTCCCTGGACCATGCCTTGAGAATCTCTGCTGTAGGCCTTAGCATGCCGTAGCAGTAGAGGGCTTTAACTAGATTGTCTTTAAAGGTCACTTTATCTCAGAAATTTAGACAGTATTGGGTTAGCCAAGTTCATTACGTTTTTGTTTTTTTTTTTTCCTGTACGATGGCTCTAGGAGTGCTTGGTTGTCATTAACTTTATTCGAAACAGTGTTAAATTATATTGTGACAGCTGTCATATCAGCATACATTAAAAAACTTACCAGAATTGGTGGATTTGTGTGCAGCCATTTTAATGTTGAAGATGAAAGGAAATATGCAACATTTTTGGCACGTTATGCTTATTATTTCAAAAAAAGGTAAATGTGCACCTGAAACGCAGAAAAAGATCTGTGCGGTGTACGGAGAAGGTGCTGTAACAGCTGAAATGTGTCAGAAGTGGTTTATAGAGTTTCTTGATACTGTTGACAGTTTGGCCAAATAATTCTTTGCTGTGGCGCTGTCTTTTGCATTGGAAGGTGTTTAGCAGCACCCTGGCCTTTCTACCCACAAGAAGCTGATAGTGGGAGATGCCGACATACTCAGAATATCCAGATCAATAAAGTTGTTGGTAAAAATTAAAAATGTATCTTTTATTTTATTGAAAAAATGTAATGGACTTTTTGGCCAACCAAATATCTCTTATTTTCCACTGGTACATAAAATGCTGACTGAATGTACAGCTAGGCAGAATGTGCAACATCATTGTTACTTAAAGCAGAGCACACCATAGAGTTGTTAAACAAGTTTGTGGGCTCTCGTACTTTTATTCTGAACCACTCATAGCATAGAGTTTCCCACTTAATAGAACACTATACTATATTAAATTGTTTATTACTGTGGAGTTTGTACTCACAGTTTACTGATATTGAGATCAGATTTTCTGAGTGCTTTTTTTATAAAGTTGTTACTTGTGTTTTACCTTTGAAATTTAGAACAGAAGAAAACAGAGCTGAGATTTTGTGTGTTTTTTTTTAAGACTTTATGTATTTATTTTTAGAGAGAGGGGAATAGAGGGAGAGAAACATAGACCTGTTGCCTGCTACAGGGGACCTGGCCCACATCCAGGCATATGCCTTGATTGGGGAATCAAACCCCTCCAATTTGCAGGCTGACATTCAGTCCATTGAGACACAACAGCCAGGGCAGAAGACTTCCGATGAATTTCTATTCTGGGGAACATTAGAATAGCAGTGATGCTACTGACTCATTTCGGGAAGATCAGTGTAGCAAGAGTGATTTATATAATTTGCAAAATACTCTGCTTCAAAGCTTGGAGTCAGAAGAGCTGGTTTGGGGTTTCAGCTACTGTATAGTAGCAATGTGATTTGGCAAGTATATTTAACTTCTATTTGTTTTATCTATAAAGTTGAGTGGGTGATATTCCCATTTGTCAGAGTTTTGAGGATTATGTGAATTTGTGTGTTAATGTACTTGAAGTCATATAAACATTACTATAATTTTATTTTGAAAGATTATACCATTGCTTTATAATTGTACAAAAGAACCCTCTCTGTATCCCTATCAGAAATTTTCACCTGAAGCTCAGAACTGTCAACTTAGACACTTTTAAAAGTATTCTGGGAATTTGAAGGAAATGCAATTTCCCCCATTGTTTCTTAGTCCTTTAATGAAATGAAACTAGTTTCGTTATGTTTCCTTGCCTCTTAACTCTTATGCCACCTTACCTTACAGTCAGTTTCAGAAATGAATCGACTTCATCAGGAGCCTGTTGTCATGTAACTGTAGAACCCCAAGAGACATAAGGATCATCTACTATATTCCATACAATCCTTCTTTGTAGATGCTGAGAGAAACCAAGCTACTTGGTTAAGATCATTTAAGTAGTGCAGTGATTCTCAGCCTTGAACTTCGGAAGTACTTGTAGTAAAGATTTTTAAAAATACCATGTCCAGGCCCCCCCCCAAATTATGTTTTTCATTGGTCTTTATAAAGCCCCCCTTAGGTAATTATAATGAAACATTACCCACTTTTCAAGTGTATTGTTTGCCTTATAACATTTCACATTTAATTTTTATTGTAGATGGGGCCATTTTATTTCTTAGACCTTTACTTTCTTACTCTGGGAAATAAGCCCATAAACTTTATAATGAGAATCAAACTTTTTGATGTTGAACCTTTATTTTAAATAGATTTATCAACTCAGCTGGTAAAGTATTTAAAATATCTGTATGTGTAACAGATGGTGGTAAAACAAAGTTTATACTTGTCCTACCTAATAATATAGGTTAACTTAATAGTGAGTTTTTTGAGACAGTGTTGTGAGGACACAGTCATTAAAATTTTGGCAGCATTAATTAATGTGTATAAAAATTTTTTCTTGCGTCATTTTACCAGATTCTGGATTTCTGGATTGTCATTGTCATTTAACTTTTTCCCAAAAAAAAAAAAAAATCTTTATTTTTCTTATAGGTGAAAGCACTGAAAGAGAAGATTGAATCTGAAAAGGGGAAAGATGCCTTTCCTGTAGCGGGTCAGAAATTAATTTATGCAGGTATGGATTGAATGATCCACTTCCCTAGCTTTTGTATTTTTAATCAATCTGAGCCCTTTTTTAATCTGTTGAAACTATTTATACCGATTATGTTTTTTGATGTACTTGGGGTCATTCTATGAAATTAAATTTTATTTTTTAACTTTTTAAATAAAATACCTGGAGAATGACTGAAAGATGTAGCAAACCTTGTATGTCAAAAGACAATAAATAAATGACAAAAATAGAAAAGGTTAATATTCAGATTATATAAAGAGCTCTTAGAAAATAATAAGGAAAGGATAACCCATTTAAAGAAAGTGACAAAAGATATGAATAGGAAATTGCGTTACTGACCTTACTACTAACCAGGAAAATGTATTTTAAAAATATACTTTTAACATTCTACTTCTGTGGAGACAATGCTTTTCGTTGTTCTTCAAAATCAACATAACATCATCATTATATATGTCAGTAAGGTGGGACTTGGGTGGTTCCTGGATTCTTATCTTTTCCTAGATGGAGATTTTTTAATATCTTCTTAAGAGTTTAAAGAAAACACTAATCCCAAAATTAAGAATCAGAAGCCTAAAAAAGCAAGTAGTTGGTGGCAGACATAAAACTAGAATTTCTGGTTGCCAGTTTCACTGTTTCTTGGTCCCATGTAGAGGAACTCTTCCTGTCCATCTTCATGCCTAGAGCTTTTTATCCAATAACTTTAAAGATGGAAGACCAAATTCAAGGAAAAAGAAACTTGAAGGAATCCTGCCCTAACATTAGACCTTCAGGATTACCAAAGTCTGTTGTACTTCTTTATGTTTTGCCCAGCTCTGTATCATCTTGTCGTTTCTGTATACTATTAAAGTACTTTTATTATGAGTATCTCACTTCTATAGCATTGGGACATTTTTGTTTTGCCAGATACCTGGTTATTGGTGGGAGCAAGAAGTTCGTTCTTTTCTCTTTCCTTTCAAGAAAAAGTGTTCTAGGTTATTCCCCTTGGGCATTCTCAGTACTGAATCCTATTTGTTTTCATAATTTCCTTTCGTAGGACCTAGTTAATATTTTCTTAACTAGCAAGTCTGTTATTATAAGTAAGAATAAAGAATTGCTTGGGGTATGTGTATACTATATGCATTTATCTTTTAGTCAAATGCTTATGCCTTTTTAACTAATTGTGTTCCATTTATATTTATTTTATCTTGGCTTATTGGTTAATGTGTTTCTTTTGGGGAAAGTATTGATAGAATTTGATGTTGGTGATTTAACTTCAGTTAGGGTAAGGCAGTGGTTACTGTACCTTAAATAACTTTTTTCCCCCTCTTTGCATACTAGGCAAAATCCTCAATGATGATACTGCTCTAAAAGAATATAAAATTGATGAGAAAAACTTTGTGGTGGTTATGGTGACAAAAGTAAGTTTTATCCTTATTCTGTATATCTTTATGCATGTGAGCTTTTAAATAACATTGATTCCAAGTCCAGCCCTTACACCTTTGAGTGAATACAGTTTATGCACATCCATAGCAGCATGCAATTACTGTTTCTAAAGGTTTTAATAATTTACCTTGGGTCAACCAAAAGTTGATTAAAAATTTTATACACTTGTAGTTTGAACATAATTTTAAGTAAATTAAGACAATTGATATATAGAATGGCATATTAAATATTGTTAGGTTTCAGCCCTGGCTGGTGTGGCTCAGTAGATTGAGTGCCGGCCTACAGGGCAAAAACTAGTTCAATTCCCAGTCACAGTACATGCCTCGGTTGCAGGTCAGATACCCAGTAGGGGGCATGCAAGCGGCAGCCACACACTGATGTTTCCTTCTCTTTTTTCTGCCTTTCCTTTCTCTTTAAAATTAATAAATAAAATCTTTTAAAAATCATTAATTTTTTTGGAGTAGTAAAACCAATGATTATGTAATTCTTAGAAAATGTGATTCTTGGAAATTGAATCAGTGTTTCTTACTGTAGTTTTCATAAGGTTATCTTAAATGGGCTTGCTCAATTATGTACTATACCTCACATTCTTCTCAAGGCTTTATAGCAAAGGCAAGGCAAGTAGACTTATAATTTCAGTGATATTTATTAGTTAATGGGATAGGTTTTGAGAAACCAGAAAGGAAAAGGCAGCTGAAAAAATGACGGAATGATTGTTATGAGTCAGTTTTTAACAGGAATGTCTCTGATTTATTGGACTGAAATATATTTGGGATAAGTTACAAAAGCCAAAGGTTTTCTTTAAAGCAGAAATAAATATAGGTTTTTCCAGATATTTTATTTATATACTTATTTAATAATACATAAGCATGCAGTGAAGAGTTAAGACAGCTGTGGAAGTACTCATGACATTGATTTTTAGTATTGAATTGTCATAATCTGAGAAGAATAGTTTTACTTGTAGCACTAAAAATAATTTTAAATTAGAAAACAGTTTATCAAAGACAAAAAATAGAATAAATGTGGGTTTTAAAGTTATAAATAATTGATATATGCAGTAAGAAGCAGAGTTTATAACATATTTTAACTACTGCGTACTTTCATACTGAGGAACAAAAGCAACACTTCACATGAATTGGACTTGGAAACAAACTTTTGAGTGTGTGGCCCGGTGTCATTGAGTACATTCACGTTGGTACGCAGCCGTCACTGCTGCCGGTTTCCCAGAGCTTTTTCATCTTCCCAAACTGAAACTGTGCCCATTAGACAGTAACTTTCCGGCCACGTCCCTCCACCTCTACATTCTTCACATTAAATGGAATCACACGTTATTTATCCTTTTATGACTGGCTCGTTTCAAGGTCCATCCCTGTTGTAGCATTACTGTCCTTTTTAGGGCTGGATAATATTCCATTGTCTCATCTAATTTTATCGTAGATGGTACATGATGGAAAAGTCAGTGGCCACACATTCGGATATGTATTTGTTACTGGTCTTATTTTCTTTAGTATTATAGGAACCTTGAATATTAGAACACAACTGAGAAAATTAGCAGGGTAAGTCTCAGAATAGATGCGTGTGTTTGGAGAATAACTACTTGGAACCAAGCCCCCCTCCCCTTTTTAATGTTTATTGATCTTAGAGAGAGAGAGAAACATTAATTGGTTGCCTCTTGTGCCACAATCAGGATTCGAACCCCCAACCCTTTAATGTATGGGATGATGTTCCAACCAGCTGAGCCACACTGGCCAGGGCCAAGCCTGTTTTTATTTTACATAGGATTCCAGTGATATTGGTGGTTGCTTTATTTTCAAGGTAATAGTAGAGGGCAGATATTAGATGGGGAAGAAGACTGCTGTAATTAGGCATTATGGAAGCAATGAGAAATTGCCTTGCTCCAAAGAAAAGACAGGAAAAGCAATAAGATCAAAAGTTTAGCAAAACTTCAAAAAGCTAGGTGGGTTTAGTGCTGTCTAGAATAAGGCTTAAGTCACTCTTTCTGGCAACAGAGACCTTACGGTTATGTTAGAATATTACGTTGATTACAAATGATCTTACGGAAAATATTAAATGGACATAATGCATTTAAATTATATTTTTATGTGGATTGGCATTTTTAAATATTAATAATTTGCAGAGTATTAAATTGGCAGTTTAAAAAGGTACAGAGCTAAATACAAGACTTTTAGAATGGCAGAAGGAGGAAGTAAATGCTGTTACTATTTTTGAAAGTTCCTTCCCCCTGCCTCGCACTGGGCACTTTTTTTCTGATGCACCTACTGGCTCTAATGGATCCAGACATGCCAGTGTATTGCTTTAGTTGTTGTTTTATACGTGGAGCAAGCTGTTGAGTTTTAATTCCCATCTTCCATCAGAACAGTTACTTTCTCTCATCAGGAAAAGTTATAAGCTAAATAGGTAGTGGGCATTGATGGGCCTTAGGAAAACGAAGAGAGTTGTAACAGTATGATTTTTACCCATATATCATTGCTTTTTGTTCTGTGGGAATCTTTATGGCTCTGCTTCTAGTTCAGAAAGTGCAGAGTGTGTGATTATAACTTTATTTGGCCTTTAGTTTTCTTTCTAACTACATACATATCTCAGAAGTTCTGTTAACATCTTTGTACTTAATATCAGCTTAAATAATTTTTATTTCATATTAGCTTGCTGTGAAGGCTGAAATTGTTGGCTAAAGCTAATTGAGGTTGGTAGTAGTATATGTACTCTCATTAGCTTTGAAAGAGTAACATCAGTAGTGATTCAGAGTGCTAATATTGACTGTTACGTCATTTTACAAAGTGTTTTTCAAGTTACAAGTTTGTATTATTCGTGCTGTGTTTGTAGCTTCTTGTACTTAGAGATCAGGTAATAATGTAGTATTTTATCTAACTCATTATGCTGCTTTTTAATGTGTTTAGCCCAAAGCAGTGACAACACCAGCACCAACAACAACAACTCAGCAATCAAATCCTGCCACCACGACCACAATTAGTTCCTCCACGGCACCAGCTGTGGCTCAGGTCCCAACCCCCACCCCCGCTCTGGCTCCCACTCCCACACCTGCATCGGTCACTCCAGCATCAACAACAGCATCTTCTGAATCTGCACCTGCCAGTGCAACGAAGCAGGAGAACCCTGCAGAGAAGCCGGCAGAAACACCAGTGGCTCTCAGCCCGACACCCACTGACAGGTGAGAACGTGGGTTCTAGAAAACGTGTCTCAGAATGTGCTCATAATTAGAATTTCATGGATGTATGTGTTTTGATTGTGGTTTTTGATCAGATTACCTTTCCGTATCCTATGTTAAACCTTTTCTAAACTTTGAACTCTGGAGAAAACAGTATACTTTTGTCTAAGTTTCTATACTCCAGCTCTGTATAGTCTGTATTTCTTTTTCTAGAGGGAAAGGGGAAGAGGATCAAAGTTGTTATTCATTTTGTGTAAGAGTGAAATGACCAAGAAGAACAACGATAAAATTACAATTATAATGTAGCTGACATAGTAGTGTTCTGCCTTTAAGTGCGCTTTCTGTGTCTGACCTACTCAACCATGTTAGGAGGTGTTTGAATCACTTGGTTCATTGCTCAGTTGGGGCCTCTTCTCAAGGAGTTGATTCCCTAACAGGATAGCATGGGCTCAGGTAATAGAATATTTTCCCTGTGCCTGCCTCCTATACTTTGCTTTAGGCATTCTCAGACACCAGTGCCTGGCTTGATATTTCTCCTTTGTACAGTTAAAAATGCATTCAACACTTTTATCTGGTGGAAGACGATCCAAAATCAGGCCAAGCTATTACATCAAAAGCTTGTTGGTCGGTTCTGTATAATGCAACAGAACTTAAAAATTTAACAAACTGGTTTTCCAAACCATTTAAACATTGTAAATATGATTAAGAATGTCTGGAATTGCTACACTATATCTTACTTCCTTAAATGCTTTAAGCTCCTATTTCAGAATTGACCTACATTTTAATGTGCTAATTCTAATACCATCCATTCAGATGTCTTCATCATCACTATCCATTTCGTTTCTTCCTGAGGGTATAGTTTTAGTCCCCTAATCTAAGAGTCAGGATTACCTTTTCAGACCTCATGGGTTGCGTAAATGAGTTGATGGTCAGTGACCCAGAAGAGCAGACCCTGAAGTTGTTCCCTCAGTTGGGCTCTGTGCACCAAGTATTTACTCTTATTTCCAAAATTATACACCACGGAGAAGGCTAACACAGGCAGGGAAGGATGAGAGGAGCTCAGAAAACACGCTACTTACCTGTGCCTCAGTCTCTTTGTCTGCCATAAAACATTCAGTGCCATTGAAACCACAAAAGTTAGTGAGATAATTATCAGGAGATATTCTGGTAGAACTTGAGGGGTGTAAGGAAGTTTGTCATTACCACTTCTTGGCATTTTATTGTCAGAGATTTGTTTCTTAGGCCAGTTTTGTTCTTTAAAAACTATTGGAATGCAAATTCCACTCAATTCATTCTCTAAGATTGATAGCTGACTTAGAGAAAGTGCATCTGTGCACAAGAACTGTATCGTATGTAATTGAGGACAAATTGTAGCCAACCTAAACATTCATTAGTAAGGTGAGGGAATAACTTGACATGTAACTTCCTCATATTGGAGAAAAGTGCTCTTCCAAGTTGTGGCAGTTAGTAGATAGCATCAGCATCACTGGCAGTTTGTTTGAAATTCTTAGGCTCCACCTCAGATCTTTAAGTGAAAATTACCTGGGGATGGGTCCCAGAAGTCTGTATTTTTAACAAGCTGTCCTGGTGAATTCTTAGGCTTCCTAAAGTTTGGGCAGCCCTATTATCTAGTAGCACAGCCAGTTAAAGTATGCAGTATATATGCGTATTAAGTGAATGTGGTTTCAAGTCTATGTTATCAAGTGTGAAAAAGCAGATTGCAAAACAGTATAGGTAATAACCATAAACCAAACAAAAACCACAAACAGCATTGTGTATTTTCAATGGGTATGCATATTAATGTGTAGAAAAACAGTAGCAAAGGGACAATACACTGATAAGCAGTTTTCTCTGCTGAGGGGAGGGGAGAAGTAGGGAGTGAAATCAAGAATGAAAATGATGGTTAACTGTTTTAAAAAATGTTAAGAAAATGTGCAAAAATAGCACAAATTATTTTTGAGTAGCTCTTACTAGAAAGACTGCTCAGTGAGAGACAGAGTCTGGGAGCAGATCAAAATACACATCGGGACTTTATCTGAGCTAAACATAGAATTCGAAACCACTGAAATAATCTTAACCAAAAAGTCAAGGAAAGGGGAACAATTAATAAATTTGACTACAGTAAGAATTTAAATCTTGGCAACTAAACTGAAAATTCCTTAGTAAGAGCCTGATTTTGTCAATTAAATGGAATACCATGCATCTCTTGGGAAAACTTGAGGTGGTCGTGTTTGTACTGATGTGCGATATTTGTTAAATAAAACACACAAAAGAGGGCACAAGTGGTTGTATAGAAACTGGTGGGCAGGGGTCTTGTGCAGGAGAATTAGTTCCCCATGTATATTTCTTTTTGAAGTGTTGCCTTCCACGCATGTTAGTTTGACTGTCCGCAGGGTCCGGCAGAAGTAACGCCTCCTTGAGTGTGGTTGGTAGGGTAATAATAAGGGTATAATAATTTATAGTTTTATTTTGAACATTTTACCTAAAATGTCATATGGTGTGCTTGAGTATGATATTATGTTATAGAATTGCATGCTTATGATTTTGTAATAAAAGACTTTGTAATAAAAAGGGGGCATTATTTGTCCGGGCCCTATAGTTAATTAAGATACTTTAAAAATTATACAAAGGATTATAGTAATCATATTGGATATTATGTTGCCAGGCACTTTGCTAAGCACTCTACCGTCAGTAACCCTACATACAGCATCTTGGAATACGTGGATACTATTGTTGACCTCATTGTATCGATGAAAAAACTGAGCCTTAGAAAGTAATTTATGGATTCAAATTTAAATATTTCCCCTTGCTTTCACTGTGCCACAGTGTTTTCTTACAACAGGAGTGTACTATGTTGGTCCCTTTAAACTGGTTAACTTTCATTTACAACTTAGATTTGTCCAAGTTTTTGTGGTCATTCTTACCTATAAAACGTAACTGAAGTTCCACTGTGTAGAGACTTCCCAGGCCTTTTTAGCCTTGTGCAGTTTCCGCGTGTGCTGCTTATCATGTGCTGCTATTGGCATTTTTCCTGTGACTTGACTTACAGATGATTTGACTTCTCGTGTGCATCATCTTTTTTGTGTTCCTTAAATAGTAAATTATCTGTGAGATGTTCTTTTATATTTTTGAACAGTTTAAACAATGGATTTGCAGAACAGAATGAGTACTAACATTCTCAAGCCATAAATGTTATGAATAACAGATTGAAGGTTTAATTTAAAAGACTGCTTAAATACTATAGCCCCATGTTTATGTGTAATTAAAATCAAACAATCTCTTTAGAAATTAGACAGCTACTAAACTGTGTAACAAGGAAGGACTTGGAAGAAGGAGGAGAAGCAGCAGTAGTGAGCCAAGGCCCGGCTATCAGCTCACTGGAAAGTCAGAGAAAAGGGGACCTTGAAGACAGGCTCAGGGAGTTAGGACGGGCTGCTGCACCCATTGCTCACCTGGCTGCAAGTGTTGTGGGGTCCCTTCAAATTTGGGAAATAAAAGTCTACAGGAGAAGAGGAGGAGGAAGGTAAAGGCACAGGTGTGCTCCCAGAAGGGGGAGCACCAGTTAGTAAACTTCACTGTCAATTGTACATGCTTTCTGATATGATTTTCTAAATAACTTTTACAGTACATCAGGAGACTCTTCTCGATCAAACCTTTTTGAAGATGCAACAAGTGCACTTGGTAAGTATCTACATTGTAAATAACCTTATAAGAGATAGGGAAGAGGTGTGAGTTTTATTTTTCTAGATCATGATAATGTGGGTTTTTTTAAAGATTTTATTTTATTTATTTTTAGAGAGAGGGGAAGGGAGGAAGAAGCAGAGGGAGAAAAATATCGATGTGAGAGAAACATCGACCTGGGACCGAACCCACAGCCCAGGCATATGCCCTCACCAGGAATCAAACCAGCAACTTTTCGCTTTGTGGGATGACTCCCAGTCACCTGGGCCACGCCAGTCAGCGCATAAAGTGTTAGTTTTCGTGGTCGCTTACAGTAAAGCTGCTGAATGATTGATTCAGACAATTAATGTTACTAAAGACTTTGTGAGTTAATGTTTTATACTTTGAATCCTTTTAAAATTTTTCAGTTATAGTTGCATTCAGTATTATATTAATTTCAGGTATTCTATGTAGTGGTTAGAAATTTATATAATTTATGAAGTGATACCCCAAAAAAGTCTTGTAACCACCTGGCACCACGTACATTTATTACAGTATTATTGACTATATTCCCTAAGCAGTACCTCTTCTCCCTGCGACTATTTCATAATTGCCAATTCTTAATTCTTTCACTTTTCTGGCCTAGCCCTCCAATCGCTGTCCCACCTGGCAGCCGTCGGTTTGTTCTCCGTATCTGTTGGTTGTTTCTGTCTTGTCTGTTCACTTACTTTGTTTTTTAGATTCCACATAAAAAGTATATTTTATTGATTGTGCTGTTACAGTTGTCTCATTTTTTCTCCCCTTTGTCCTCCTCCATCCTTCACCCCCTCTCCCTCCAGCATTCCCCACACACACACCCTACCCTCGTTCATGTCCATAGGGCTTACGTATAAGTTCTCTGGCTTTTCCATTTCTCGTACCAGTCTTACCCTCCCCCCTCTGTTTTGTACCTACCATTTCTACTTTTTAACCCTGTACCTTTTCCCCCATTCTCCTCCCTCCCTGCTGATAACCCTCCATGTGATCTCCAATTCTGTGCTTCTCTTCTCGTTCTGGTTGTTTGCCTAGTTTTGGTTTTGTTTTTTAGGTTCAGTTGTTGATAATTGTGAGTTTGTTGTCATTTTACTATTTGTAGTTTTTATCTTTTTCTTAGGTAAGTCCCTTTAACATTTCCTATAATAAGGGCTTCATGATAAAGAGCTCCTTTAATTTGACCTCATCCGAGAAGCACTTTATTTGCCATTCATGCCAAATGATAGCTTTGCTGGGTAAAGTAATCTTGGATGCAGGTCCTGGCCTTCATGACTTTGAATACTTTTTAGTTCCTTCTTGCCTTCAAGGTTCCTTTTGAGAAATCAGGTGATAGTTTTAAGTTTTATGGGAACTTCTTTGTAGGTAACTCTCTTCTTTTGCTGCCTTTAAGATTCTCTCCTTATCTTTAATCGTGAGTAGTTTAGTTATGATGTGTCTTGGTGTGTTTCTCCATGGGTCCAGTTTCTTTGGGACTCTGAGCTTCCTGGATTTGCATGTCTATTTCCTTTGTCAGATTGGGGACGTTCTCCCTCATTGTTTATTAAAGTGAGTTTTCACTTTCTTTCTCTTCCCCTTGTCCTCCTGGCACCCCTGTGATTCAGGTGTTGGGATGTTTAAAGTTGTCCCAGAAGTTCCTATACCTGTCTTCATTGTTTTGAATTCTTGTTTTTTTGTTCTGCCCTAGTTGAATGTTTATTCCTTCTGTTCCAAATCGTTGATTTGAGTCCCGGTTTCCTTCCCTTCGCCGTTGGTTCCCTGTGTATTTTTCTTTATTTCACTTTGCATAACCTTCACTTTTTCCTATATTTTGTGACCATATTCAATCATTTCTGTGAGCATCCTAATTAATAAATGTCTTTAAACCTTTCCTCTACACTTAGTCTGTCAAAATCAGTTTTCTCTCCCCCCCCCTCCATTTTTCCATTGTACCTTTTTTGGTACAGTCCGGCTATTTCTGCTAATTACTGGTCTACTGGCTGGTCTGCTGGCTGACACCCCCATTTGTGCCATTTGGTACTCTCTGTATTACTGGAAATGGTGGAGAGGTAGAAGACCAAGAGCAGTAGGAGGCAACAGCAGCTTCAGGGACATACAGGCTTCTGCATTCCTTGCTTAGCTGCTGCACCAGCAGGATTATAACAGCAGTAGCACCTTGTAAGATCTTGGCCAGCCCTCTGACCTGATTGGACTTGAACTCCATGATACCCCATTACCACTGAAAATGGCACACTGGGTTGCCCACAGCATACTAGAGCAGAATAGTTGTTTAAATAATCAACCTAAAATCACCTGGATGTACCAAACCCACTTTCACATTTTAGAAGGACTGTTTTCTAGGATTACCCTGCTATCAACTGAGTATTAGTTCATCTCCAGTCAGGAAAACAGAAATCACTGTATTTCAAACAGAGAAAGGCTTAATCTTAGGCAGTTGTTGCAGACATACTAGAAGGGCCAAAGGAGATTGATTACCCAGGTGTCAGTAAAGTGCTTTGTAGCCTCTGAGCTGGAACCAGCTGGCACTTGCCCCAGTCCTGCTGAAGGCTCTGGTTATCGCCACTGCTACGTCAGTAGGAATGCAGCGATGCCACTGAGCAGCAGCGCAGGCGCACACTCCTGTAGCTGCTGATGGTGATGCCTTACCTTTGCATCCTTTATCTGCTAGAACGGCCATTCTCAACTTTATGGTCTCAGGATCCAGTTACTCTTTAATCTTTTATTTACCAGTCTTTACATTGATACTCTGCTTCTTTACACTTTCTTCCTTGGGCTTCTGTGATACCACTCTTCTTGATTCATACCTCTATTTCTTTCTAGTTAATTATTTTAATTTTGCCCAAACCTTAAACATGTGTGCTTTTTTTTCTTTTATGTTTCCGTTCTATGCTTAGTTCAAATTTCAAACTATGGGAATGACAGGCATACCATATGCTATATATTGGCTTAGCCAAAAAGTCTATTACATTTTTTCTGTACTATGGCTCTAGTAGTAATTAGTTGTCTTTAATGTCATATGAAACAGTGTTGTGACAGCTGTCATATTGGCGTGCATTTTTTAAAAACTTAACCAAAATTGGTGAATTTTTGTGTAGCCATCTTAATATTGAAGGTGGAAGAAAATACACAACATTTTCAGCATAGTATGCTTTATTATTTCAAGAAAGGTAAAATGGAACTGAAATGCAAAAAAAGGCTTTGTGCAGTGTATGCAAAAGGTACTTTGACTGATAGAACATGTCAAATTGGTTTGCAAAGTTTCTTGGTATTATTGACATTTTGGCCAAATAATTCTTTGCTGTGGGGCTGTCTCATGCTTTGGAAGATGTTCAGCAGCACCCCTGGCCTCTACCCACTGGAAGCCAATAGTGGGAGAGAGCCCACATACTCAAAATATCCAAATCAGTAGTAATTGGTGAAAATGAAAAATTTATCTTTTATTTTATGGTAAAAGCATAATGGACTTTTGACCAACCCAGTAAAATTTCCATATACTGTACTATAAGGATTCTCAAAATTTTAACTCTAGTACACAGCTCCTTGTGAGCTCCGAAACTCACTCTTTTAAAAGAAAAAAAATGCTTTCTTTGAGAAGGCTTTTTTTTTTTCTATTTATTTTCAGAGAGAGGTGAAGCAGGGAGAGAAACATCAGTTTGCCACAGGTACATCATTTTCTTTCCTCTCACACACCCCCTACTGGAGACCTGGCCCAAAACCCAGGCATGCGCCCTAACTGGGAATCTAAACGGTGACCCTTAGGTTCTCAGGTCAGAACTCAGTCCACTGAGCTGCACTAGCTAGGGCCCAGACTCATGCGTAAACTGTCAACTAGAAAACCTATAACCTCCACAAATTCCTTAGGTTTCAGGTGACTCCTTTATTAATCCCATCCGATTATTCTTCTTTGTTCCCTTCCTTGCGTGTATCATCATCCACCCTCTACCAAAATACTGGCCTTGTTGTCTGACCCTTTGCCTCTCGTGGCCTCTGGGGGTCCCGTTGCTCCTTCCACCCAGAGTCTGTGGAATATTTGTTTCTACCGCCATTTCATCACCTTAGTTTATGTTCTTACCTCACTGGTATTTTTTAATTACCTGGTTCTAACTAGTCTATTTTCTGACATAGTAGACTTTCTAAAAGGTAAATCTTAATGAGGTCATTGTTAGTTCATTTGATAGCTCCTAGGTGACATAAAAGGTAAATTCAAAACTCACTCTTAATGACATACATAAGGTACATCATCACTACTTCTGTAACCTCTTTATCTGTCTGGTGTTGTCTGTTGACCCTAATTTTCTTTGTACTTTTAAGATCTAAAAAGTGCCCTGGCTATTGTGGTTCAGTGGGTTGAGCCCTGGCCTGCAAACCAAAAGATTGCCAGTTCAGTTCCCAGTCAGGGTATATGCCTGAGTTGCGGGCCAGGTGCCCAGTTGGGGCCGTGTGAAGGGTAACCAATCAGTGTATTTCACACATCAGTTTTCTCTCCCTTCTCATCTCTCTAAAAATAAATAAAACAAATTAGAAAGTATCAAGACTGCTGAGGCATTTCCTTGTGATTTTTAATAACTTGATTAGCTAGGAAGTGTAATTTCGGAAGCCATGCGTAGTGACTAGGCGTGGAGGCTCTGGGTCCGACAGCCCGTGACTGTGTCCGCACTGGCACTTGGCAGCCGTGGGCACCAGGGTCCGGCTCTGCACCTCGGCCTCACCTTTAAGGAAGAGGAAAGTAAGCCTTCTCACAGCTACTGCCTGTTAAAATCGTGTAGTTCTGATACCTAAACCAGTCTTAATTTTGTTTCTATGACTGTGTCTGGGACGAGATCACTGAAGGAATATCGGCACTTCAGTGGCTTTGTGTCAGCATTGTATCAGTGGTAATTTAAAAAGCAGATGTGTATTTTAAAGTTTTTGTATGGAACAGGGAGGGAAAAGTCTTGATCCTAAACAGACTTTAAAACACCACATCTGCTTAGTGATCATTAGTTTTTTAAGCTGTACTTTCATAACTCTTACATACCTTTATTTAAAATTCCGCAGAAGGAAAAAAGCCATTCAACTGATGAATGTCATCTGGGTGTCAGGGAAACAGTGATGTAAAATAATATAGTCCCTTGTACTTGCATTCAGATGAGGGCAGAGGGAAGTGTGAAATATATTGCAGACCATGATAAAGGATATGTTAAAAACTATTGGCTTTCATAAAGAAAAACAGAAGGCACATGGTGGTTAACAATACCTCACCGAGACTGTCCATTTGAATTGAGAACTGGAGCATGTGAAGGAACTGGCCGTCACGGAGGCTTGATGTATGTGAGGGTTCTGGGGCAGGAGAACGGGGAGTGGTGAAGTAAACTGGAGAAGATCGTTGTGCTTGGAATGTCCTGTGCGGAGGGTTGTTGAGGGTGGGAGCCCAAAATGAGGTTTTTAGAGCTTACTTTGGCAACAGTCTGAAGAATGAATTGTAGGCTTGGGAGCAGGAGAGGAGGAAGCAAGTTTTAATCCAGACCAGCGATTACTCTGGACTGCTGTTAAGTGAAAGCAGTGGAAAAAGAACTGAATAATGGGTTTGGGATGTAATTTAGAGCTAGGACCTACCAGATTTGCTAATAGATTAGATGTGGAAGCAGGGGAAAGGGAATTGAAATCACCAAGGTTTTTCTGGTTCAAGTACTTAGATTGGGTATTGGTGCCATTTGTTGAAATAGCAGAGCCCTGGCCGGGTAGCTCAGTAAGGTTGGAGCATCATCACGTACACCAAGAGGTTACAGTTTCTATTCCTGGTTGGCACATATGTAGATTGCAGGTTTGATCCCCAGTCAGAATGCAAATGAGAGATAACCAATCAGTGTTGTTTTTTCTCCCTGTCCCTCCCTTCCTCTCTGTCCCTAAAATCATTAATTGAAAAAATTTCTTGTGAGATTAAAAAAAGAATGGCATTATCTGCCATGATGGCAGATAATGGTGGGACACATTTGAGGGGAGAATCTTTAGAAACCCAAAGTCATATATGGTGCTGGTTTAGGAGTGAGGGGAACTCGAGGAAGTGGACACAGCATGCAGACATCTAGGGCTGTTAAAGGAAGAATGCAGACAAATGGACCAGTTCTTGCAAGAGAATTGGGATGTGTTCAAGGGAGGCAGGTTTTCGTTCTTAGGATGACATTCAAGGACTCAGTTAACTGCTGACGAGCGTAATTAGTGGGGAGGGAAAGGTGGGAAATGGACAAAATAGGCAATAACTAAAAGGCCCAGTTCTTCGAGGAGACAAGAAAGGGAATGGTACCCAGAACACAGGTGGAAGAAAAGATAGTTTACGTGAGGTAAACATGACTTACTGTATCTGGGTCATTGTACCAACTTTGTATGGTATGTGAAATTTTAACTTTATAACTAACCTTTGTCCTGCTTTGATGATAAAAGGTGTCAAAGGAGAAACAGCTTGTTTTGGTAGAGTTGATTGCTTGAAATGCTTCTCTTATCAAGTCATTTCATCTGTCTCTTCTTCCAGATTGCCATCCCCAACCTGCTAAGTAAAGCTATATTTGTGCTACATTTATACCTGATATTTTTATTGTAGTTATTAAACATACTGTATCAGTTTTCTATTGCTACTGTAATAAGTTACCACACACTTAGCAGGGTAAAACAACACATTATTATTACCTAACAGTACTGCATGTTAGAAGTCTGTCCCCAGACTTGCTGGGCAAAAATCAAGGGACTAAATCACTGGGCTAAAATCAGGGCTGCACTCCTTCTCTTCTGGAGACTAAAGGGGAGGATTTGTTCCAGGTTCTTTCCAGCTTTTAGAGGCTGCCCACACTCGTCGGCTCATGGCCCCCTGCCCCCTCATGATCAAAGGAGCACAGCACCCTGACCACGCTTTTGTCCTCGCTTCTTACATCTGTTTCTCTGACCCTCTTAATTCGCTCCCCTCCTACTTTAAAGGGCCCTCGTGGTTACATTGGGCCCACTCAGATAATCCAGGATAATTTCCCTATTTAGCTGATTAGCAACCTTAATTCCTTTTTGTCAGGTAATCTAACATACTTGTGGGTTCCAAGGATGGGGGGGCATTATTTTGCCTACCACGTATATGTTGTGGTTTAAACTGTTAATTCATCTTCATATTCCTGGCACTGTAGTGTTTGAAACATTGTATACATTCAATAAGGATGTGGAGAATGTTGAGTCATTAAATGTCCCCTTTCTTTTCCCTCCCCCCACCCCTGTAGTGACTGGTCAGTCGTATGAAAATATGGTAACTGAGATCATGTCAATGGGCTATGAAAGAGAACAAGTAATCGCCGCCCTGAGAGCCAGTTTCAACAACCCTGACAGAGCAGTGGAGTATCTTTTAATGGTGAGAAACGTTTAACTTTCTTCATTGTACTTTAACACCAATATCCCATAGAAACAGTGATTTTAAAGGAATAGTAACAATTTACAGTAGAATAATAATATATGCTAGATAATTGTCATAATGCTTTCATTTTCTTAGTCCGTTAACATTTTGTGTTGATAAAATTACCTGTCCTGAAAGATTTCGGTACGGTGTTTAGTTACTGAACAGCATGGCTGACTGAGGTGTACAGTTGGCTCTTTTGGAGCAGATCCCTGTGCCCCACTGATGTCCTCGGGGTTCGCACCGAGAGCCTGTGTTGGGGGGCACAGGCACATACGGGTGTGTTTTTCCGTGTAGTCTAACATTTTAGTAGCTTCATTGACTGCCAGCATAATTTTGAATACACTATTTAGAGTAAAAGGTTTAAGTTAGAAGCCCGATCCACATTTTATTTGACTTACACTTTAAATTTTTATAATTAATTGATTTTTTTTTAACTGGGAGATTTCACTTAAGAAATTCAGATAATCTGGTTTATCTGGACAGATTGATCCCAGATTTTCACTAGGGATTAGGAAAACTTTTAGATCATAAATTCTTTAATTTACCATTTTCTGATCCACTCACTGTTACCTGATAGTATTACACATTTAATTTAACGTACAATGTTATTTGCCTGGTTCCATTGATATTTAACTTGTTAGCTTGTTTATAGTTGGTAGCAGCTGAGGGATTTCTATTAAATTACTGTTTTTACTAGCATAAGGCTTTTGAGAAATAGGTTATTTTGGGCATGGACTAAAACCTTTGATATTTTATGACAGTAAATGACTTAGTTTTCCAGATGTGGCGTGGGCTAAAATGATAGCATCGAATTTTGGAATAGTATTAGATTAATGTTTTAACATTTTATTCTGTACTTGTCTAGTGTTTTGAAGTATTACGGAAGTCTAAATTGCCCTAAATAGCATCCATGATCCTGTCTGTTTGGGAGATACTGTCCACAGTTAACCCGTTCCTTTGTCTCCAGGTTGTGCTTCATCAGACGCGCCCTTTCAGATAGTAGTTCAGGAGGGTCCTAGTCGTGAGTCTCTGCCTCCGCCTTTTGTGTACTCATTTGCATGTGAGATTCACAGGCCTGATAGTAGCATATTAGTTTTAATGTTTTAAAATTTTTATCTTCGCTCCTGGACATTTTTTATGTTTTTAGAGGGAATGTGGGGGAGGGAGTCATTGCTCTGTTGCCCTCTCATGTGTGCCCCCCAGCTGACCTGGGACTGATCCTGTGACCTTTTCGGTCTGCAGGACAACACTGCAGCCTACAGAGCTGTACCAGCCAGAGCTTGAATGCCCTTTTTCATTGTCCTCTTGAGGAGCGTCTTTAAAATGCTGGCAGTTCATTTTATCAATTTGTTTGGAATTGAGGAATCATTGGGTTTATAACCACTATGGATCTGTTTGTGGTTACTCTTCCCTCCTAACCCTTCAAAACCCCACATAGTCCATTAAGGTATTGTTTTATATAGAATGACTTTTATTTATTCCTGATTTGGAATTCTCCACCAGTTTAATAGAATCATGTTTAGTAGATTTGAAACTTCAAGGCATAAAAAATTAACTCCCTCAAAAGCATTTGTTGTTTTCAGTGCCTGAAGTGTCATCTGATGCGGGCAGCTGTTACCCTGCTGTTCATTACCCTTAATTCATTTCACTTACTCATTTTCCAATTACAGTCCACATACAATATTATTATATTAGTTTCAGGTGTATAGCATAGTGATTAGACATTTTTATACCTTACAAAAGCCTTGATTATATGTTTACAATTTGGGCTTCAGATTTATTGGGAACTGAAAACATTTACCATTACAGTCTTTTATTCAAATGTAACATTTCCTTCTTTGTTCTCCTTCCAAATTCTATGAAGATGTCTTAAAGACATTTTAATAAGTTGTATATGGGAAGTTCTGTAAATAATTTTCATCAAAATAGTGTGTTTCAAGTCATTCAGTGCCATTTCAAGGTATAGTAACTTCAGGAGATAAATGCTGCTACCTTAGAAAAAGCATCACTTGAATAATTACTTACGTTTCTTTTATACCTTTTTTGTAAGTTTTGAATAATCCGTTTTAATTTTTAACATGTGATGCTTTCTGGATGATACTTTCTCAGAACCGTGGGTCAGGTGATCTTCTTCCTCGGTCGGTGTCATCACTTGCTCTGTCTCTGTTAGACCTTTCCCCCCGGGGTCATTTCAGAAGTGCCACATGTGTGTCAAAACCTCTTTCTTTGTAAGATCTTAATGCTAGAGTTACAAATCCAGTTCTTTCTGAATTACAAAATCCATTCACTATATTTTGCCATGTATAATGCACATTCATGTGTTTGGCCCAAACTTTCAGGAAAAAAAGTTTCTTAATTTTTTAATTCAATTTTTTTACTTATTTATATTTAGATACTTGTTTTTTATATTATAAAGGAATTTGTGCATTAATTTTCATACATATAATGGTCTAAGAAATTTTAGGTAACAAGTGTTTACAAACAGATACAGAGGTAAATCAGGTACTACCTGTATATAATATGCATCCTTATTTTTTTCCCTTCAAAAATTTGGGCAAGAAAGTGCACATTATACATGGCAAAATACGGTATACCTTAGATCTGTACTATCTGATAAGGTAGCTGTTAAGTACAAGTGGCTATTTTAATAAAATGAAAAGTAAGTTAAAATTTTAGTTTCTGAGGAACATTAATCATATTTCAAGTTATCGTTAGCTGCATGTGGCTAAATGGGTATTTTATTGGACAGCATAGCTGTAGAATATTTCCATCATCATGGGAAGTTCTGTTGGACAGTGTTGCGTTGTGTTGGGTTGGCCGAAGATTCATTAGGTTTTTTCCATATGACGCCTCTAGTAGCGCTTACTTGTCACAATGTTGTTAGATTGTATTGTGACTGTTGGCATATCAGTGTGTATTTTAAAAAATACTTACCAAATTTGGTGAATTTTTGTGTAACCATTTTAACATTGAAGATGGAAGATAATAAGCAACATTTTCAGCAAAGCATGCTTCATTATTTCAAGAAAGGTAAAAATGCAACTGAAACTCAAAAAAAGATTTGTGCTGTGTATGGAGAAGGTGCCATGACTGATTGCAGGTATTAAAAGTGGTTTGCGAAGGTTTTTGCTGGAGATTTTTCGCTGGACAATGCTCCATGGCTAGGTAGACTAGTTCAAGTTGACATCGATCAGATTGAGTCAATAATCAACGTTATACATGTGAGAAATAGCCAGTATACTCAGACTTTCCAAATCATGTGTTGAAAAATCACTTGTACCAGCTCTGTCATGTTAATCATTTTGATGTTTGGGTTCCACATAAGTTAGGGGGGGGGGGGAACCTGGAACGTATTTGTGCATGCAATTCTCTACTAAAATGAAATGACAGTGTTCCTTTTATATATATATTTTTTTTAATTTATTTTTAGAGAGAGGAGAAGGGAATGAGAAAGAGAGGGAGAGAAACCTCAATGTGTGGTTGCCTCTCACATGGCGCCCCCCCCCCCACACACACACTGGGGACCTGGCCTGCAACCCAGACATATGCCCTGACTGGGAATCGAACCAGCGAGCCTTTGGTTCACTGCCCATGCTCAATCCACTGAGCTACACCAGCCAGGGCAAAATGTTCTATTTTTTGAAACAAATGATGATAGGTGATGAAAGTGGATATACTTCACAATACTGTGGAATGGAAGAGGTCATGAGGCAAGCCAAGATAACCACCACCAACCACACCAAAGGCCAGTCTTCATCCAAAGAAGTGTTGTGCATACGGTGGGATTGGAAGGGAGTTCTCTATTATGAGCTCCTTCCAGAAAACCAAACAGTTCCGACAAGTACTGCTCCCAATTAGACCACTGAAAGCAGCACTGGACGAAAAGCGTCTGGAATTAGTCAACAGAAAACGCATACTCTTCCGTCAGGATATCATAAAACCGTGTGTTTCTTTGATGACCAGGCAAAAACTTAAAGCCTGGCCGGGAGGTTCTGATTCATTGCCGTATTCACCAGATATTGTACCTTAGGATTTTCATTTCTTTTGGTCTTTACAGAATTCTCTTAATGGAAAAATTTTAATTCCCTGGAAGACTACAAAAGGCATCTGGAACAATTATTTGTTCAAAAAGATAAAAAGTCTTAGGGAGATGGAATTATGAAATTGCCTGAAAGATGGCAGGTGCTGGTGGAACAAAACAGTGAATACGTTGTTCAATAAAGTTATTGGTGAAAATAAGAAACTTCTTTTATTTTTACTTTAAAATAGAGCAAACTTTTTGGCCACCCCAATATTATAGCAATATGGGTTCTTCTGTACTATACTCAGGCCATTTCTAACCAAATTTAAATGTATGCAGCTTTCAGATAAGACTTGATTCTTCACTTCTAATTGAAGGAGACATTTGTGTGATGCTTTTGGAAATTAGGCAAGGCTATTAAATATATTAATAAATCTTTTACTCTGAATAATTTAACTAACTTTAAATGACAGGATATTTAAAGCTCGGACATTGTGTTACTACAGGGAATTCCCGGAGACAGAGAAAGTCAGGCTGTGGTTGACCCCCCGCCAGCAGCTACTACGGGGGCTCCTCAGTCTTCAGTGGCTGCAGCTGCAGCGACTACGACAGCAACAACTACAACAACAAGTTCTGGAGGTAAAGTGGAGTCTTTTGGACGGGGAGGAAACGGCTCTGAGTTTATACTGTAAATTAATTTCATCTGAAGTATTTTGAGATGAGGTTTATTCCCAGAACCTTTAGATAACTCTCAAAGCACATTCTGTATTCATCAGTGTTGGAGAAGGGTCAAGAAGAGATTTTACCAAATAGATATAAAGATATTTTTGCTTATATTAAACTTTATTGCTCCAGTTTTGGTAAAGAGCATGGTATTCTGAAGCTATTTCCGATGGGTTGCTCACCTTGTCTCTTTCTCTCCTTTTAAATGTCATAAAATATGTATAATTTCAAAGCCAGTACTATCTTAGTGATTATCCAAGGAAATAAAACCTCATGAGGTTTAAAATCTTGTATCAAGAGGTAAAAGCAAACTTAAATTCAAGTGTCCACTGGCCAGTACTCATATTTCCATTGCCAAAAGTTTGACTACAAAGCGAAATCTTAGATAGGCCCAGGAATTACTTGTGTTCTCCATCATTCTTCTGTATATTCATGAAGTATTCAAACTTAATTTTGAAGAAACCAATCTTTGATACATTTTCTAGTTCTAATTATGACACTCAATTCTGGTTGACAAAAATTTCTAAGCACTTTTTTTAAAGATTGTATTTATTTATTTTTAGAAGGGGGAAGGGAGGGAGAAACATCAACGTGTGGTTGTCTCTCAAGCATCCCCTAGAGAGGACCCGGCCTTCAACCCAGGCATGTGCCCTGACTGGGAATTGAACCTACCACCCCTTGGTTCGAAGGCCAGTACTTAATCCACTGGGCTACACCAGCCAGGTCTCTAAGCACCCTGTATACATGCTCCCAGAGCACCAGCTTTTCATTTCTTGAGACTCAGCATGGGGGTCGAAAGAAGAGGCCACAACATTGGTTCAGATTGAGGGGCTGCTCCTTCCAGCAACACTTACTGACTTAGTTTCTGACTCTTCTTTTCTTCATCTGTAAAACTGGTGTTACACATAGAAAAATAAATATCTGTGTTATGTGCTCATTTTAATTTGAATGATTGTCTTGAATTAAAATTTAGGAAATAACATTTAAAAAATTCTTACTATCCATTAGTAACCTCAAAAACAGTTTTTTTCATGCAGATTTTGATTTTTATATAGTGTTAACCAGACAAGCACCACCACCCAAAAAAGTCACAAGTTCTAGATCTCATACTTTATTTCATATTATTAACTAGTATTTATTATTATAAAGGGATCTTATCGCAAGTGTTTATAGATTATAAATTTGAAATTTGAGGGTCATAATAAAAAATTCTAACTGTAATTGAGTTTGCGTTAATAAAACTCCATCTGATCTGCAAACCTGAACTCTTTTAATTATTAAATACAGGAGTGGGCAAAAAAGTAGATTTACAGTTGTGACTGTGTAAAAACAGGTGTTATTTTTTAATTTATTGTTGGTTTTTTTTTTTTAAAGAGAGAAACATCAATTGCTCTTCCACTTATCTATGTTGTTCATCAGTTGCCTTTTGTTGTGCCTTCACCAGGGACTGAACCCTGAACCTCGGTGTGGTGGGATGACTCTTAACCAACGGGGTTGCCCTTCCAGGGTGAATGTCTTCTTCTTCTTTTTTTTTTTTTTTTTTTAAGATTTTAAAAAATTTATTTTAGAGAGATGGGGAAGGGAAGGAGAAAGAGAGGGAGTAAAACATCAGTGTGTGGTTGCCTCTAGCACACCCCCTACTGGGGATATGGCTCACAACCCAGGTTTGTGCCCTGACTGGGAATCAGACCGGCGATGCTTTGGTTCTCAGGCCTGCAGTCCACTGAACTACACCAGCCAGGGCTGAATTTATTCTTGTTTTATTATTTATTAATTTGTATTTTTCCATACAAACAACTGTAAACCTACTTTTGTCCATTCGTTGAATCTCCCAGGAATTCAAGCTCAAGATTGATTGAGAGCTCAAATTACATATTTTTCTACTTTCCAGTGTCTTCTGTCTAAATTATGATTGAGCCAGTTCTTTGTGTATGCAATTGCTACTTTTGTTTAAAAACATTTATGTGTATTTTAGGACATCCCCTTGAATTTTTACGGAATCAGCCTCAGTTTCAACAGATGAGACAAATTATTCAACAGAATCCTTCTCTGCTTCCTGCATTGCTACAGCAGATAGGTCGAGAAAATCCTCAGTTACTACAGGTGACTAACCAGGGTTAATTTCAGAACTGGGTTCAGAGTGCGCATCACAGTTCGAAAAAGTCAGTGAGCACTCCTTCCCCTCCACCAACGTTAAACCAGTTCTCTGAGCTGCTGCTTCAGTAGAATACGGTGTAAAGATAGACGTCCAGAACAGAGTTGGGCGTGGAGGCTCGGTTGATTTTGGTTGGTCAGATGGTGAATTTGGGAACTACTTTAGTAAAGAATCTGAGAAACTCTTCAGCAAAGAAACTTTGTCTTTTTTCCCAACCGTATTATTAGTGTAGCACCACCTCTTAGAAAATGTACTTGTAGGCTTAATGCTTAGGTCACAAAGGATTTCAGTTTGTACATCATCGTGCTGCCTGCTTGTGTGGAAGACATGTATAGGTTTTGTCTCTTCCTATAGTCGTCAAGTAGTTTTTTAACATTGATTATTTTTTCGGCAGGGTACATTTATGAATGAGAGTTTGAATTCTCTTAATTTTTTATTGTTTATCTGACTTAAGAACTGAGCTTCTTTAATAATATACAAGGAATTAGGTCCTTCCAAAGACTAAATATCTAGAACCATTCCAGAATATTACAGTTGCAAAGTTATAGCTTCTCTCTTATTTGTATTTAGAATTCTTATTTTCCTAGAGATATTTTATATCAGTGTATTGTTTTTCTCTGTCCTTCACACCACCGCAGCAAATTAGCCAACATCAGGAGCATTTTATTCAGATGTTAAATGAACCAGTTCAAGAAGCTGGTGGTCAAGGAGGAGGCAGTGGAGGTGGCAGCGGAGGGATTGCAGAAGCTGGAAGCGGTCACATGAACTACATTCAAGTAACGCCTCAGGAAAAAGAAGCTATAGAAAGGGTGAGTTTAAGTAAAACTAACAGTTCAGTTTTTAGTCACAATGGCCACATTAAGGTGCTCAGTATTTACGTGGGGCTCGCGGCTCCTGCATTGGGTAGCGCTGATCCAGAGTATTTCCGTCATAGGAAGTAGTTCTTTTAGAGTCAAACAGAGCATTTCCCTTAGGAATTACAGTCAAGACAAGCTCTTAGCCCTGCTCTCTCATCTTGTCTTTGTGAGCCCTAGGGAGCAGTAGTGACTACCATTCTAGCATGAAATACTTACAAATATACTAAGAAACTAAAAATTTCATTGATGTTTTAATATTGAGGGGAAAAAATGATCTTTAGTTGTCTGCCTAAATTAAGATTGTCCATCTTTTAATTTATATTTCACATGTTAACTTTACACTGTAAAACGTAAAATAGATACATATATGAATTCTACAAAAGTGGTGTACAGTAAACATCAGAACCTGGTGTCCTGGTTTCTGGTTCCATCTTCACCAGCTCGGCCAGGGTAGGTCATGACACTACAGTACTCTGGTTTTTTCGACACTATGAGTAGTCATTCATTTTGTGGCCCCACTGTTAACGTTCGTAAGTGGGGAATCAGTACTTGCCTGTTGTCTGAAGTGTTCTGAGATGGAAGTTCCATAAAGTGCTTTTTCACTTAATACTTAGAAAGTCATCTGGACAATAATTTGTTCATTGTTTATCGAGTGTTCAAGGTTTATAATTATGTATTTTTTTAAAGATACTTTATATCTGGCTGGTATTTCCCCCCTTGAGTAACAGAGTTGATAAATGACACTTGCCTCAATTGTTCTGTGGTTTTTTTTAAAGTTAGGGTTCAGTTTTTGATTTCTGTGTTGGAGAAATTGTGTTGCTTGTGCTTTTAATGTTGTACTAAAAGAATATTGCCTAATACAAGTTTAAAAGATTTACTCTTGTCTTCTGAAGACTTTATAGTTACTATCACGTTTAAGTTTATAATACATATTAAGTTACTTTTTGTTTATGGTGTCAAGCTGCACTGTTTTACACCTGGCCGTCCAGTTGCCCCAGCACCATTTATTGAAAAGACTAGTCTTTTCCCACTGAGTTGTCTTAGCATTCTTACTAAAAATCATTGACCGCAAGTGTGAGGGTTTATTTCTGGGCTGTTAGTTCTGTTCCATTAAACTGTATGTTTATTCTATACCAGAACCTCAATCTTGATTACAATGGCTTTGTATTAAGGCTTGTTTTGTTTTTAAGATTTTATTTATTTATTTTTAGAGAGGAAGGGAGAGAGAAGTATCAGTGTGTAAGTTGCCTCTCGCACACCCCCCACTGGGGACCTGGCCCACAACCCTTTGGTTCACAGGCCGGCACTCAATGCACTGAGCCACACCAGCCAGGGCGCTTTGTAGTAAGTTTTGAAATCAGGAAGTGGACGCTTCAATTTTATGCTTCCTAAGATTGTTTCGGCTCTTCTGCATCCCTTGCATTTTCCTATTATTTTTAGGATCAACTTCTCTGATATCTATTCACCACCCCCCAAAAAAGTGGCTGGGATTAGGATATTGTGTTTTTCTGTAGATCAGTTGGGAGAGTATTGCCGTGTTAAGCAGTGTTAGGTCTTATCAAGCCATGTAAATGATTTTCTTTCATTTATTATTAGACTTTCTGTAATTTTCTTTCCAAAGCGTTCCATAGTCTTCAGTTTGTACTTCTTGTGTTAAGTTTACTACTAAATATTTTTGTTGTTTTTGATGTTATAAATGAAAGTGTTTTCTTAATTTCATTTTTTGGATTGTTCATTGTTAGTTATGTAGAAATGCAATTTATTTTGTGTATTGATCTTATGTATATCTTGTATACATAAGATCTTTTGTATATAAGAAACATGATCTTCTGAACTCATGTACCAGTTCTGATCATTTGGGGGTGTGTTCCTTAGAATTTTATATTTGCAAGTAGACATGGTTTTGCTTTTCTAATATGGGTGTCCTTAGTTGTTTTGTGTGCTAACTGCTCTACCAGGAGTGTCCAGCCTGCGGCCCAACACAAAATCGTGAATTTACTTAAAATATGAGGTTTCTTTGTGATTGCATGTTGTGGTGTATTTAATGTGTGGTCCAGAGACGCCAGAAGGTCAGACACCCCTGAGCCTCCTGTGTATCGACCAATAGTAGTGACAAGAGCCAGCATGCTTGTCTTACTTCAGATCTTAGGGGAAAATATTTCAGTCTTTTCAATATTAAGTGTGAGGTTAGCTGTAAGTTTTACTAACATTCCTCTTATCTGATTGAGGAAGTTTTCTTCTATTCCTAGTTCGATGAGTGTTTTTATAACAAAAAGGTTTTTGATTTTGCCAAATGCTTTCTCTTGTGTTTAAGATGGTTATGTAGTTTTGTTCCTTTTCCTGTTATGTGCTTAATTAGTTCACTGATTTTTGTATGTTGAACCAACCTTGTATTCCTAGCATGATTCCTAGTCAGTTGTGGTATCTGTAATCTTTTTTTTTTATGTTGCTGGTTGGGTCTACTGGTATTTTATTGAGGATTTCTGCATCTGCATAAGAAACACTGGTCTGGCGTGTATGTCTGCTTTTGGTATCAGTGTAATAATAATACCAGCCTTATAGAATCAGTTTAGAAGAGTATATGAAAAATTGGTATTAATTTTTCTCTAAACAGTTGGTAAAATTCAGCAGTGAGGTTATCTAAGCCTGGTTTTTCTTTAGAAAATTCTCTAATTACTCATTCAGTCTCTTACTCATCATAGGCCTATTCAGATTACCTGTTTGTTCTTGAGTCAGTTTTGGTGTTTTCCGTCTTTCTAGAAATTTGTCTATTTCATGTAAGATACCTAATTTGTTCATAATATTTCCTTTTTAACAGTTTTTATTTCTATGAAAAATAGTAATGTGTTCACATTCATTCCTGATTTTAGTAATTTTAATCATTGATCTAAAGGGGAAAAAGCACTAACTTGGTTTTGTTGATTCTGTTACTTTTCTAGCTTTATGTATTTTCTCTTTGATTTTTATTATTTTCCTCCTCTGCCTGTTTTGGAATTTGTTTCTTCTATTTTTTAGTTTCTTAAGGTGGAGGCTTAGGCATTGACTTGAGAGGCCTTTCTTTTTTATGCAGACACTTAGCGCCCTACCCTCACCTGGGAGCACGGCTCCGGCAGCGTCCCCTGGTTTCGGTGCTTCGTGGTTTGGTTCTAATTCCCACCTATTTATGAATTTCTCAAGTTTCCTTTTATTACTGATTTCTAAGCTCATTCCATTGTGGTCAGAGAACACATTTGCTATCATTTTAGTTCTGTGTAATCCATCAAGGTTTACTTTGTGGCCTAAAATGGTCTTTATGGAGAATTTTCTATGTATACTTGAGAAGGACACATAATCTTCTGTAAATGTCTGTTAAGTCTAGTTGGTTTTTTTATGTTGAGTTTCCTGTTTCCCTCTGTCTTCTGCCTACTTGGTGTATCCATTATTGAACATGGGGGCTGTTGAAGTCTCCACCTATTATTGTTGAATTGCCTCTTTCTCCCTTCAGTTCTGTCGATTTTTGTTTCATGTATTTTGGTACGTGTGTGTGTGTGTGTGTGTGTGTGTGTGTGTGTGTGTAAAATGAAGTCTTTCTGATGCTTTTATCCTCATAAAATGTCCTTTGTTATTAGTAACAGTTTTTATGTTAAAATCTATTTTGTCTGATATTGATATAGTCACTCCAGCTCTTTTTGTAACTGTTTGCATGGTGTATATCTTTTTCCATCCTTTTACTTTCAGCATATTTGTGTCTTTGAATCTAAAGTGTGTGTCTTATAGAAGCATATAGTTGGATCATGCCCATCTACCTTTTCCCTCAGCTAGCCCAGCTTTAATCTGGACAAGACCTAGATAACAAAATCGTTTTTAGTTTCTTCTCTCATGGATGAATAATCATGCGGAATTGGGACTTGTGCCCAGTTTTTTAAGGTCATTTCTTGATATAGTCTAATACAAGGCTATTGAGACCGTTGAGGAGGGGGTTCGTAAATAGCATTTGGCAGACAAATATGTAGGTTCTAATGAATTAGATCATTGAACTTAGTGTTTAAAGACTTTTAAAGCAGTGATTATTGAGTCACACGTGATTTATTTAGTAGACTAGGAAAGTGAAAGTGACTATAAAAATAGAATGCCATCATAGATCTTGATCTCAGAAATATCCTGTAGTATCACTAATAACTGATGGCCCATTTTTCTTGTGTGGAGTGTTCCATAAAGCAAGGAGATTGAGAATGATATTTGATCCTAATCAAAGATAAGACTTTCTTTACAAACCTGAGGTAGTTGATCTCATCACCAGTTGCTCCCATCCATATCTTCACCTTTCATACACTAAAAGCCATTTAGTTTACAAATTTCTGTAGGGTCATTTATTTTTAAACCACCATAGTGAGCACCTGATTCTTAGTGTCAGTGCCAGTTGGTGTTAGCAAAGTGTCTGTTAGTCGAGTAGCTTTAACCAGGAACAGAGGGCTTTGTAGGTGGGTGTTAAAGATGGACCTGGTTCCATCAGGCTCCTTGGGTTGGACCACAGACCCATATTCAGGTGGGGATGGGTTCCTGTAAAATTCTCAGGAGCTCTTTTGTGTCTTTTATAGTAAGTGTTCAAGTGATGATCAGTCAGTAGTGCTGTGTTGGATAGTAATGTTTTCTTTCTTTTTTCCAGTTAAAGGCATTAGGATTTCCTGAAGGACTTGTGATACAAGCATATTTTGCTTGTGAGAAGAATGAGAACTTGGCTGCCAATTTTCTTCTACAGCAGAACTTTGATGAAGATTGAAAGGGACTTTTTTTTTTTTAATCTCACACTTCACACCAGTGCATTACACTAACTTTGTTCACTGGACTCTCTGGGATGACTTGGGTTCATGTCCACAATACTTGGTATAAGGTAGTAGGTGGTTGGGGGCGGGGAGGGCGGGCTCTAGGCTACAGGGCAGCGGTAAACACAGCGCATGTCTGCTTCAGTCGGCAGGTGCTGCAGATCCACACGGTATGTAAAATAGACAACCAAACCCGGCTTTTGCAGGTCTTTATATCTTGTATAAAACAGTAGGTAATTTCCTAGGTTTCACTCTTTTTAGTATACTAGATCCAGAAATTTAGTGTAATGCCCTGCTTAATATTTCTTTGACTGAACATTGGTTTCAGAAAGAATCTCTGCCACCTGGAATCTACAGTCTGTGTTTCACGGCAACACTGGATAATGGCTTCACGAAATTGAAAAAAAAAAAATGGAACATCTGTAAACAGAAACACCAAATTATTGATGGTTTTTGTTGCTGCTTCAAAACAAGTATAAAATTAATGTCAAGAAAGCCCATTCTTTTCATGTTAAATACTTTGGGCGGGGGAGGGAAGAAGGGGAACTTTTCTTAAAATGAAAATAATTACTGCTATTTTCAAATCTCTTGATCATTGAATGTGAGACCCTTCTAACATGATTTGAGAAGCTCTATAAGTATAGGCAGAGTTATTTTCCTGTTTACATTTTTTGGTTTGTTTTGGGGGGAAATTGGTAGGTGTCTAATTACTGTTTACTTCCTTGTTACATTGCAGTAAAAGTTTTAAAACCACCATTGCATGTTTGCTTTTGATGTATCCCTTTGTGAGATTAGCGCTTTGGGGCCAACGGCGGTGCAGCCTTCACGCTCCCTCCCCCCTCCCCCCAGAAACGTGTGTGTCAGCAAGGCGTGAGTTCAAACTGCTGCCTTTTTAAACCCCACAAAATGCTGATTCCGTTTAAAATTAATGCGAATGTTTCAAAACTGGGTTTCTGACATTTGTAAATGTTTTTCCTTATTAGATAAGAATATATGACCATTAAAGTCATTAGGATTCTATTGCTTTCAAAAAGAGGAGGCAGACAGAACTATAATCCTGCATCTTTTATTGCTTTGGAAAGACTGATGAAATCTTTTGGAAGGGTTGGGAGATGTGGCCGGAAAGAACTTTGGAATATATACAATCAAGATATCTTGTGGCATATTAAAAGAAAAATCTTAATAGCAGTGTTGGCTTTTATTTGGATTTTTTTTTCATCTCAGTTTTTCTTTGTAATCTCCCTCATTGGCATTATTTGACCATAAAGAGGGGGCCGATATCTACTTGTTCAGTTTTTCCAATATAAACAAGACTATTTAAAGAAATTTTTTTCCTCCCATCTAATACTGAGTTAGGATGGTGTATTTGCACAGATTTCTCCCTGCATAATCTCTTGCAGTAATCCTTAGTACACCATTTGGTGATAACTTTTAAGCTTTTCCATCATGCACTCGTAACCTATCTGTTTAGAAAATAAATGAAATGATGATTTTTCCCCCAAAATGTTAAGCATGTAGTTAATCTTCATATGTTTATTATTCCTTAAACCAACAGGCCTTTGGACTTTGTATTGCCTGTATGTTTTATGACGAACCGTGCGAAATAATATCTCAGGAGAATAAAAGGAGGATTTGTAAATATACTCGTCTCTCAAGGCAGAGGAGTTGGGAAGAGGGTGGCGCTTCGGTCGGATTGTGGAGTGCTTCCATTTGACGGCATCTTATCTGCTACTCGATCGTTCGGAGATAGAGAAAACTGGAACAGGGAGGCAGGGGCGACGGCAGCCTCTTCCTTGCTCGGGAATGTGCCAGCAGAAGCTGGGGACACGGAGCTCCTGTCCTTGGACAACGAAACTACATGTGCGTGGTGGGATTGATTCATACCAGACGGCAGTTCGGGCCGCGTCCGGCCGCTCTTCACGGTGCCTTGTTGATCTGTTTGAAGGGCCAGACCAGACCCTAAGCAAGCAGTAGGCTTTTCTGTGACCTTTGCTGTTGTGTTTTAATTTACAAACAGTTTCGGTATATCTCTTAATAATGTAAGTGACTATTTGACCTTGGAATTTAGCATTTGACATAGTACGTCATCTGTTCCTTGAAATATTTTTATTGTTTAGTTGCTCTGTGGAAAAATGGGAGGAAGCTTAAGTTTACATTTGTTAAAATCTTATTGCTATCCTCAAGTCACCTATGTCTTCATATTGTATTAAAACACTGAAGTATTCCATCAGGTCAGTTTTTCCTGTACAAGATGCCTAGGACCCTAAAGAATTAATTATAAAATCTTTTCAGTGCATCCAACATCGCATCTCTCATTTTTTCAGTGATTTTTGCCATAGAGAATCGTAGAAAGTAAGTTGACAGTGCTTCTGTCACCAGTCCCTCTGTTTTCTTTAGTGAATGGTGAAGGTAACAAGTAGAAGCCAGGCACTGTGTCAGTTTTATTGGGTCTCTTGTTTGCTTTCTCAATAAAGCATCAGGACAGAAACGGGATACCTGATTGGATGCAAGTCAGGTTTCATGAGGGCTTTTAGACGTGCCAGGATCCCCGTTTTTCCTATGCATTTATGTCTTACAGCAGCAGCTTCGGGGAGTGAGGGCTTCCTGACCCAGTCTGTATTGGGAGGGCTGCCCCGCTGGGAGGTCCGCTCGTCCCTTCGGTTCACCTCCACTGTCCATTTTTTCACTTGGTCCTTCCAAGCCTGGGAGGGGGCGGTGAACTACAGCCCATGAGCCAAACCCGGCTCACTGCTAGGAATGGTCTTTACATTTATGTTTTTTTAAATGATGGTGGGTGAAAACTATTCAAATGTCTGTGTTCATAAATAAATAGTCTTACTGAAACAGCCACAATCATTTGTTTACGTATCATCTGTAGCTCCTACTGTGCCGTGGAGGTTTGATGTTGAATAGTTGCAACACAGACTAAAGCCTGCAAAGCCTGAATAAATCATTGCCTGGCCCTTTACAGAAGAGTGTGCCGACCCTGTTCTAAACTGCGACCAGCCCATCCTGGGTTCAATTGTATGGTGCTTTTTACTCCTTTTCGGCATTCGTGGCCTCCTGGCTCCAGGTCTCAGTTTCAGTTTAGTTGGTTTGTTACTGGCACAGGTTCCTTCCAGAGGAGTGGTATCACTCCCACCTCTGCACGGACAGAGGAAGCAGCATTGTCTGTCTGCTGTGTTGGCCCGGCGTGTATGTAGTGTCTTGAAATGGTTCTTTGCGGTTGCTACACTATTTCTTGCTCTTAGAGGAAGATCATGAAATTCAGCACTAAGGGTATTGTCAAAGGCACCTGGCATAGTGATGAATCAGAACAAAAAAGGTAGTGAATCTCTGGTATCAGAGTTGGGGCAGTTGAACATCTGGGGAAAAGAGTGGGTGGAACCCTAGAGGGAGAAATGTAGTGGTTGGGCCTGTTTGGGTACAGACTGGTGTCCAAAGTGTGGGTAGTGAGGGAGGGGCAGTGGCAAGGCGGAGAGCGAAGGCTTGGGCTTGCTAAGGAAAAGATACAACACCGAGATAAGGTTTCGGGAACCGCAAGGACAGTGATGGTGACAGAGGGGTTGGAAAAGGCCTTCCCTAGCACCTTGAGGTTAGAGGCGGAAAGCTGGCTCCCCAAAGTAGGTTTTTTGCTGTGGAGAGAACTTGGGGCACCAGAGAAATACAGCGGTGACACCTTTGCTTTGTGTGTGTGGTGCTGCAGATGGCAAAGTGAGTGGGAGCTTGGTCTCTGCCATTGAGCTGCAAGGACTATTGAATAGTAAAGTATAACTCGTCTTCCAAGAACACAGATGAGAAAACAGCAACCCACACTTTGCCTCATGTCTTACTCAGTTTTCTGTTTTTGATTTAGGCCCTCCTCATCCTCCTTTCCACCTGGCTCAGTGAGTTACAGATGGTTAGACGAAACAGTCCTCTCTAGTTCATGAGATGGTCTTGAGGGCACCAGGGGCACCTGGCCTCAGCCTTAGCCCCAAGTAGCCTTGTCTTTCCACCCAGCGTTTTGTACAAGGATTATGTTTGCGGTGATGAGAGTTACTGGGAAGCTCTCTGCCACACCTGTACTAGCTCTCTAGGTGGGCCTCCTACCTGTCAGTGGCCTCCACGCTAAGCATGCATCTACCGTGGCTGGTGACTGCCTGTAGAATAGCCACCTTAAAAGCTCAAAGGATGTTTGGTCATTGATGGCTTCTTTCTCTTGAACAAAGTCTAAAATTGTTTCAGAACATGCCTAGTGTTTGGCTGTAAATTACAGGGGCTAGTCGGGTGTTATTTGCCTGCAGTGGCAGGTGAGAACATTTAATAAATCAGTTCAAAACTGACTTGTTAAAAATTGAATAAGAACGAATGGGGCTGGTGGGGCTGCGCCTTAGAACAGGATTTAAATACACAAATTTCTTGGTCCATTTGGCCTGCTTCTGCTTGTCCGATAGCATTTTTCTTATTAAGTTACTGGGGTTATATCGGTCAGTGGGACCAGCTTGATAGATAGCATTTTGTTTTAATTTCTACAGTGTCCTCAGTCCTAAGGAAATTATCTAAAGAATAAATATTTTGATATTTTTTGGAAAGTTAAATGTGTTAACCAATGCATTACTACTTAGACCGTAAGAGAGTTGTCTTACAGGCTGGCGTCCCTCGCCTGTGCTTGTTTGTTTTTTCCTCATGACTCAAGTTGGACGGTTTTTGGAGGGAGAACCACAGAGGTTGCTGCTGTGCCCTCCCAGCCTCGCGTGCCAGTTTGTGCCGTTGCTCATTCACTTTGGTCGCTTTAGGAAGGCGGGGTCTGGGGGCCTTTCTGCTGGACAGTTGCTGTGTCTTTCCATGTTTAATAAACATGTTATGGAGAGATGTTTTCATGGTGTAAGTATCTTATTTCTCACCAAAATTCTGCCCATTAGTTTTACTAACCATGAATATTCTTGCCTGAATTACTATTAAGATGGTTGCCAACTGAGAATTTTCAGATGACATAATTTCTTTGGCATTTATTAGCTCACATTTGCCTGCATTCTTGCGTTCTCTCTCGCCCACTTTTGCTTCTCTGTGGATTCAGATTTCTTTTTTACTCAGTGATATACAATCCAGTACTACCACTATTTTGATGCTCCGAATAATGTCATGTGCGTTCTTAAAGCTGGCTTCTCTGTTTGGCGGGCCCTTATCACCCTTGAGAACTCTACTTTCGGGCACAGCAGCATATTCCAGGCTCTTGGACTTTCTGGGTCCCCTCCATGGAAATGACATTGAGGAACCAGGCTGGGTGCTAGGAGTGCTCGTTTGCTGCCAGTCTCACTGCTCCCGAGCCATCTGTCTCGGCTCATAGAAAAGGACACGCACACCCGTTCACATCTGTGTTTCTGGATCTATATATAGATAGCTGGAAACTTGGATTTGGGTACCTTGAATTCGAATCCAACACCACACCGGACCTTCTAGCTTCTCCCTTTCCGTATCTCATCTCCTTGGTGAGAAACTTGGCTCCCGTTGTGCTCAGTCTGTTTTCTTATTTGTCACCTTCCCCGTATGTAACAGTCTCAGGCACTCGGCTGCCTGTCTTGTTTGAGTGCTGATTACCGTCCTGCTCAGCCACTTTCTTTGCACAGCTGGAGCATTCATATTTAAACGTTATTTTTCACTGCATTTAGGTGGAGGTGGAAATGTGTTTAGAGCAGGTCTTCTGAGTTTAGCACTCGAATAACAGTACCTCTCTACACAAAAGAAAAAGGTCTTATTTTATTGCTCCAGTTGCTGTGCTGCTGGGTCAGTCTCTGGATGCCCTGGAATCGTGGCACGTGGGGTAAAAATGCTGGGTGGGTTTCCCCAGTTTCCTTCTGTTACGGCTTGGGACCGGTGTGCTGGTGCAGGTGAAGGAGTCTGCAGGAGGAGCGGACTGGAGCGCGCGCACCCCGTGTGCTGGGCTGCATCTGTGGTCGGTCCCTCCCCCAGACCCCTCCAGTGCTGCTTCTCTGGTTCATATTGTACGTCCAGCAAGTAATGATCAGTCACTTAGGGCTGGGCATGTGGTTTGCAACTGTTGCCTTTATCTTGCTAATTCCTCTGCCCAAAACCATAGGGAGCCTTCTTGTGACCCCCTTTTTCCTCTGACTTGAGCCCGAGGCCTCTGTTTTCTCAGCCACTTGTAAATAACTGTAGAAGTGAAAACCCATAAAATGAGGTAGGGAGTGAGAGAACATCTAGCAAGCCTTTTTCTTCCCCTTAATGTAAGGTTTTATTTATTTTTAGACAGGGGAAAGGAAGAAGAAAGGGAGAGAAACTTCAATGTGTAGTTGCCTCTCAAGCGCCCCCTACTGGGGATCTGGTCCACAACCCAGGCATGTGCCCTGACAGGATCAAACCAGTGACCCTTTGGGTCTCAGGCCCAGTGAGCCACACCAGCCATAGCATCCGGCAAGTCTTTTCAAGTCAGCCACAGTGACTTTCATCACTGTATCCCCAGAACCTAGTAACTGGCTAGGCCAGAGGAGATGCCCAGTCAGTACTGGTGGATAAATGGGCAAAGAATAAATAGTTGGGATTTTCAGCATGTTTTCTGGGCTCTGAAGGCTTCGTGCCCTTTTCTGCCACACCTTCCATTTTAATACTTCCATTTCCGTATCCCAAAGGCTGCTTTGGTTTCCTTCCCTCGGCTCAGGGACCTTGGCACCAGATTCTGAGAGATTCGACATGTAATACCATGAGCTGGCCGGTCAGAGGGAGAGTGGGGTTCTGTTGACCATTTCGAGACGGGCCCACGTCTGAGAGTCGAGCAGGCCAACAGCCGCACTCCGGCGACCGCGCCAAGGCCGGCTCCGAGGGCCTCGAGCTCAGCCGTCCGGGATTCTGTTCGCACCACACGCCACGCTGACCTGAGCTGTGTTGTTCCACCTTGTGTCCGGGTTTTCTCTGCAAAACAACCTGCCTCGGGCTGCTGGTGGGAGTCAGGTGACGGTGGGTTGGGGAGCATCTCTACAAGGCCAGCTTTGTTGTGGCTGCTGGCTGCTGAACTTGAAGTCTGGAAGACGTCCTCTGTGCTCCAAGGAGGAGAAGGTGACCGACCACTCGAGGACTGAGTGGGCCGAGGACGCCTGTGTGATCTCTGGGCGCCTTTGTCCTTCCTGTTCCGCTGTTTTCGCCTCCGCACTCCCCAGAGACCGGTGGGGCTGCCCACTCGGCTGGGCAGCACGGCTTGAAGGCTCAAACATTGGACATCATCGGCGCAGAAAGTTACAACTTCTATGAACTGTGTCTGAGCAAGGCTGAAGGTTCCGCCAGTTTCTAGGCCAAGGAATT